GTACTTCGATTAACTATTAATACTAATATACGCTGTTATTGATTAGCAATATTTATCCTGGTAGGTAACCTGATTGTCACAAAAGTATAATCTACAAACCATATTGTACTTTCACGAAATTATATCGAACTAACTGTTGCAATTAATAGAATGTTTGAGTCGTTTCTGAGTCTTTAAATAGGGTAATGGACAGTAATTGAATAGTAGATTATAAATGAGCGATCAGATGTTTCATTGTAGAAAAATCTTAAGCTGCTTTTAATTAAACAGCATAATGAAGGCTCTGAGGAGAGTTATCTCGTCTAGCTGTGTATTCGAGACTATGGTCACATTCTAGCTTCTTTGCACACCTACTAGCATTCTGTCTATGGTATTAATGCTTGAAAAGAAGAATGAACAGCATTCAAGGGAGGGTCATATTATTATTATGTAAAGGGTAACCTGAGCCTTATTTGTAAAGAAGTAGTTTATTACAAAACACAAACTGTACAGAGATTTGTGGGTTTGGATTACACATTCATTTTAGTGTGGTAGTAACAGTAGTTTATGGAGATTTTTTCCAAAATGCAGTATCCCACTTTTAATGTGGTTAGGTGGTAACTGCCATGTTTGCCCCAGATATATAAGTTATAACATTACTTTGTATCTAGACCGTATTTTTGTTAAAATCGGCACATATGTTTAGTCTCTCAACTTTAATGGTTCTGCAATTATCGATTATCGGCATGAGAAAGAACAGTGGGCTTAATAAAGTTCCTCAGGTAATTTCACAAATTATTAGCCTTGGAGCTGGAAGGGAGTGATTGTATTTAACCATTCCTTAACATTCAGTTGTGAATGAAATTCTGAGATTCATGTCTTGTATGCCCGAACATTTATGTTCTGAAATCTTCTTCCGTCTCGTTCATCAGGTCATCTAAACGTCAAAGCAATGAACAGACACAGCTAGTCAGGCTTACTAGTGATTGATACTCGAGTTTTAACTGGGCCTTTACGCATTGACACTAAACAAGTACCAGATATGATTTAACGTAAGAATGGCAGTTGATAATTACTGGTTACTGACTGATGCAGCTTTAAAGTAAATCATTGTCGTACCAAATATTCTTTTCCTGCAAGTGTTTTTTTCAGGAATATTACCCAATAATGACAGCCTCTTATCATTGATTTGCACATATATTTTAGTGGTGACCGAGATTGACTATGATCACCACTAAATACTAGTTAGTAATAACTAGCTCGTGATAGTAATGAAAAGTAAATCCAGAGTAACGAATATATTTGAAGGAGAAAGGGGGTGACATAGAGAGTAGCATTTAACTAACAGATACTTTCGCGTAAGTGAATTTAGGAAAGTTAAACAAAAGGAGTATAAATATTGTTTCTTTTTCACTGTTTGTGTTTTCTTCGTAAAAGTATCCCAGCACAATATAAACATACAGTACTGTTCAAAGAAACACGGCACGCTTTTTGAATCTTTTCACAATAAAAGGTTTCTAGTTTTGAGTTCTAAGTTCAGTGTTATTCCACCGATTTGTGTCTAAATACTAACAGACAGATTATTATTTCGTTGACTGGACAAGACGCGAAGCTTAAGTCATCTGATCTTACGTCCAAGTCGATCCTATTTTTACCCTGGCGCCCACTGCCGCAGCTGAGAGGACTAGTGTTTTTCAAGAACCTTTGGAACATAAAACGATGTTAAACATAAATACGAAAAGTTATAGTGGGCGCGCTCGTATGGTTAAGACATTATGGCTTTATAGAAACTCCTGAACTGGCATTTACTGAACTTCACTATGTTTAACCACGTATTCAGTGGTCGAGTGTTCCAGTTTAGTCTACTGTTTGCTTCAATGGAGGTTTGTACTCACGGTTCAAAGTTTTTCGCTTACTTTACTATTTAGCCTGTTACCAACCTTGAATTCGTATTGAAAGCAGGGAGAGATTACGTTATAAGGTCTAGTCATTCGCAGAAAGGAAATATTTAGTTTTAGTAAGCTCACTAACGGATAATTGTTATAGGAAGCAGTCTGGTGAAGGATAAACAAAGGCTAGAAGGGAGTGAAAGCAGGCGGTCTTCGATAATATCACTATAGATGAAACAAGCACTAACTCCAGTGAAAACATTGTGAAACTCAGTACCGTTATAACACAGCGCTAAAACTCTATTAATAAACTTGTTCTCACCAGTATAGCCTCTATAAATGTGACTGTGACCCGCAAAAATTCTCCTGAAGTTGGATAGACTCTCATCAACGGGGAGTGGAAAAAAATCGAGGATGGCCTTCACAGTTTCTCAAAAGCCCAAGTCTTTGAAAGTAATCAGTTAATGGATTGGCTGTATAATCACTTCTAAGACTGTTCAACTAGTGAGCAGAAAACACAAGAACTTGGAACGCGATCCTGTGATTTTGAACGGAAAGAACCCGGAGACCCTGTAATTCAGTGAAGATTCTTACCGATCTCTCGCGTATTTAACTGCCGCAATTCCACGGCTAACCCTACGGAAGAACACTACTCGCCAAAATAATTCAGGACTCCTTTGTGTAACGTTCATTAGCACTGCTGATGTAAAGGATGTCCGACCGGCCAAACACCTGCTATAATCTATAATCTTTACGAAGGTACCGATGAATATAATATATTCCCGGCACACTATGAACCACGACCTACCAAATGAGTTTCAAAAGTCTTTCTTCACAGTAAGAAATTTAGTTGCATATGGTGTCCCAGATAATATGGACGTCGCTGAGGCTGTCTAGGTTCTTAAAACAGTCACTAGAGACCCTGAATACATCGAACCAAGAAGTTTGGCGACTAACGAGGAAGGATTTCGACTTCTCTAAATAACTCCTCCTGTCTAAATGGCAACTGCGAATATCGGGGCATCATGCTTTTTAAATCAGAATTATCACCTGCTATATATGAACTCTACAAACTTACCGAACAAAATGGACGATCTGCTTGAACTAAGCTATGCTGTAAAAAATCCTAGGTTCAACGAACCAGTTTTTCCCACAACCCACAACCCATAGTCGTAAGGATTCTCACTCTTCTAATGCCAGGCATTACAAGGTGGAATATAAAGGAGCTAGTGAAGACAGCATGTATCGACAGTTTAAGCTATAAAGGAACCAGTGTACAAAGACGCGAACTAAAGATAAGCTTCAATATCAGATCGAGCTAATCGAAAAATTTGTCACCAATCTGAGGCGCTTTTTTCGTTCTACAACATGACTTTGACGAGTCTAACCTAAAGGTCCGTAGTTTTTGGGTCCGAAAAACCTAACTCGCGAAGTTAGTGATGATGCAGAGCCTCTGAAAAGGCAGTATCTTCAGACATTTCAACCATCGAACACACAATGAGAGCTTCACCTGTAATCGAACGAAAATCTTGATAGTGGACTTAACACTGGTCTCAAATAATTGCAAGCTGACTCATACCACACCAATTTTTGAAGGAAGGCAAAGCAGTGGACCTTTAAGCTAGCGGCTAGAAGCACTGCTGTCAACACCTTCAAAAGTTATGGAATCCTTGGTACAGGAAAATTTAAATGACTATCTGCCGTCCTCAAACTACTTTACTCCTCAGCGACATAATTCTAGGACTGGATTAGGAAGACATGAATATCATACGGAAAGCACTGAGTGCGGCTGACAGCTTGGATGCAGCTGGATGATAAGGAATTCGAAGATGATCTAGCTCTTGTATCTCACACGAAACAACAAGTACAGGAGCAGACTACTAATATAGCAACAGTCTCAACAGCAGTAGGTCACAAGATACACAAGGAAACAAGCAGGATCCTCCGACGCTACACAACATGAACCAACCGAATCACACTTGACGGAGAGGTTTTGAGAATGTTCAAATCTTTGCTGATCTTGGTAGCATCGTTGATTGGCAAGGTGTGTCTGATGCAAATGTTAAGGCATGGATTAGTAAGGCAAGGGCATAATTTCTACAACTGACAAAAATCAGGAACTCAAAACAACTATCAAACAATGCCAAACTCACAATTTTCAATACAAAAATTCGAACAGTTCTATTGTGTGTAGCAGAAACCTGGAGAACCAAAAAAACCATCATTCATAAGATACAAGCTCTTCAGAGGAATTTGACTCAATTCGGGAATCGGGTGAATAACAGCGGACTTACTTTTAACACTTCGAACTACAAAGTAGTTCAGCTGAAACATATTGTGGAATAAGTATAAAACATAGATAGCTGTCCTCCAGGTGTTTCTCAGACTGAAAAAGATCCAAAAGTCTTACGCTAAACTGAACAAAATACATTTTGGGAAAACTTCGCACAGATACTGTTGAAGAGAATGTTTGGTTATTTTGACAGCGGTACGTCCAATTTACTATCTCTATGGTCCTTACTACAGAAAATAAATATAGTGTATCCTCATAAACCCCAAAACAATAAGATTATAATGGGATGCACCTAAAAGTGAGCCATGAAAGCGGTTCGAGGATCCACTTTCAGAGCATTGAAAGAGCGCCTTTAGCTACTGGTATTTCGCCAGTTATAGTATATGCTTATCAGAGGTGAACTAATGACTCAGAGCATTCTACGCACTGCTGAGATCAGCTCTCTTCCAAAGGAAATCTTTGGGCGAGTGTTTAGGACCCAGAGGTACAACATACGAGTAGTCAGATTATATAATCATTTGCGGGTAGGGAGGTAAATGCAATTTCCCTGTTGTCATTCTAGAAGAAACTTGACATATTCTAGAGGATACGAGATAGTACTTCACCACAATTTGCCAAACTGTTTTCCTTTACTCTTTAAATATATCTGGGTTCCTACCTGAACACATCAGTATTTAATGGACCCTCTACAACCACAATTTTAGAATTACTTCAGTTTACTCTTTATTGCCTCTGCAATCCCGAATGCTTCATATTACAAGCCGGCTTTGAGTTGAATAGTGTTTAAAGACAGTTACCGACGGAGTTTTTATGCCACAATAGCGTTAGTGACCTTGAACGTTCTTGAAAGAATCCCGGGATTCACAAATTACCTTTTTGTTAAGGTCAAGCGGATATATCAAATTGAGTCTCAAAATGGTAAGCTCATTCTTCTTTGTATATATTTTCGTTTATGGATCTAATGAAAGCATCAAACATCCCTCAAGCCTTTTTATCTCGTCTGAAGTTCACATTTATCAGATACGTTTAAAAAATCTATGTTTTCGTATATTAAACTAATTATAACGTCTAGTTAACTGCGGTGTCCTTAGTCTACAAATACAGAACACAAATTTGTCTTTAATATTATTCGTCAAATTCTTTTTTCTTGCAAATCTTTTGTACATCTCTGCGAAAATTAAAGTTCTATAATATCTCGATTAAATCTAAATTAATTAGACATAACGTGATACATTACCGAATATTTTAATATTTCATTTAATATATAGTCATTCATATAAAGCTAGTTTGGTTTGTCTACTAAGGGCATCGTCGTTTGAATTATGTTTTGACATCACCCTTTATAATGCTTGTCACAAAGGTTTACATTTTGAATGTGTTCCCGTGCATTTGATCTCCAGCAATGAGTTCAGATGACTAAGTAGTTCAGAATAACGTTTGTTTTTTTGGAGCTCGACACATTCGTGGAAAATGAACAAAACTGGATATGTATGTATTGATTTATTTCACTGCATTTATTTAAAATCTGCGAGAAAATCTAACGGGATCTAATTAGTAATCACAAGCCTACATCTTTCACACATATTTCACTGTTATAAGCCGAGTTTTGCATGCACAAAAGGCTGTTCAATAACTACATTCCTGTTTAAACTTGCCATTTACATGCTTGTAGGGTTAACATTATCATCGTCTGGCTTTTCAGGGGTCGACCTTCTATCAGGAGACTCGCTTGTTGACTTAAAATATGCTGGTGACAAAGTTCTATTCGGTAAAGAAGCTAAAAAAATTCACTGTCTCCTAACTACCCTAAGCAACAATGCAAGCATGTTCTGGATGCGGTTTTCCTCCTCGAAATGCAAAGTTTTGCTTCAGGATTGATTGGCATGCGTTGGCACCTAAATTAGTTATAGGTAGTGAAGTAATTGGGCATGTTGACCGCTTCACTTATCTTGGGAGTCTCATAAACACTGACGACCTGCTGACTGACAAAATCTCAGCATGGATACAGAAAACTCGATTGGCTGTTGCCAACTTGCGTCATTTATGGCGTAGACGAGATAGCCGTTTGCTAACCAAAGGACGAGTCTATTGCTCATCAGTTCGCTCCATTTTAATTTATGGCTTCGAAACATGATCAGTAAGAGTAGAGGATATTCGAAGGTTACTGGTTTTTGATCATAGGTGTCTCCCATCCATTGCTTGTTTATCTTTGGACTGTCGAGTAAGTAACGCAATTGTTAGGAAACAAGTACTAGGTAGGGATGGCAGGTCAATAGATGAAGTAATGAAACTTCATCAGTTGAGGTGGTTGGGACATGTGTTACGTATGCCCAACCACCGACTGCCTCGGTGAGTTATTTTTTGTGGTGTGGGAGTAGTTTGGAAGAAAGCTAGAGGCGGCCAGACCAAAATATCGCAACAAATGCATGAAGTCTCTGACAAGTGGACTGAGTCATGTTGGTAGATGTAGGCTACCTGGTTGGGGTCCGCGAGACGAAAGTAACCGATGGTTAGAGACCTTGAATAACATGGCTCAGAATCGTTTTCAATGCTGTAGGTGCATTCATTCCTTGTGTTCTATGCAATTCTAATCATCCGAATTCCTCATCATCTCTATCTCCCTCTTTCTTAAGTTATTTCACTGAACTATACTTCTGGAATCATATCTTCGAACCCTAATCTCCATTACTGCTAATACTTCTACTATCGTTACCACTATGGAATTTGAACTGTCAGGTGCGTCTTTGTGCAAATGGGGTATTGCAACGTGAACTTATATACTCATGTATGTAGTTCTACGTTGTAACTGACTGACTGACCTCTAGCGTGATTGTGTACAAAACTACCGCCTTATTTGGAGTACTTATCCATACTTTGATGATGCCTCTGTTTGCGCTAGTCTCATCTTAAATTTCAGGAGCAAACAAATTCATCGTCCTGAAATGATTAATGTCGGTAAATTAGTTGTAGCTTCTGTTGCAACTAATTATTAAACCAAGCCAAGTTAAAGGTTAACTATCGACGCACCGAAACGTATAGATGAACATTAGTTGCAATTGCACAACTCCGTGGAAGTAGCGAGTAAAGTCGCTTGTAACTTCGCGAAACATCCCGCTTGTAAGTACTGGGTTTTTATATGCCCCTGACCCCTCGTCAATGAACGTCGGTTTACTCCGGCTAACCGCCAGTTTTACGATAAAAGAGGATTTGTGTAAGCAAATAGTGCAAATTTTGCATGAGGACCAAGACGTATGTTGGTCAGAGCGTACCAACGAAAAGCAGCAGCTGCATCTGCTAACTGCCAGAAGCTCTCTCAACTCATCCGATTTCCTTGCAGCAAGAAGTCTGGCGTGAATGAAGCAACCTGTGAAGCTGATGGGACACCAATCAATGACATCTGCCAATATCTTGAACGATGCAGTTTTTCGAGGAATAGTACGGCTAATCTACTGCCCCGACGACATCGATCAGGCTGCTCTATCCTCCTTGGTCGATGCTGACTGACCTGTCCAGAGAGGCAGAATTCCGCAAGGGACTCCAACTCCTGAAGCGCTACAAAAGCGCTACAAGCCTACCTCCAGCCGTTTTTAATGGTTGTGGTGACATTCTAACTAATATACTGACTGAGTTGTTTGCAACCGTTTGGCTATTATAGTGTTCCAACTTCCTGGAATGAGTCGATGGTTGTCCCTATCTTCAGAAAAAGTTAATGTCACCTACGTAACGACTATCAGGGGATACATCTACTACCGATTGTGTCCAGATTATTAGCTTCGGTCGTACCTCGTACACTGCTCAAAACTTGTTAGTAGCACATAGATGAAATCGAAGCATGTCCAATGCAGGATTATTTTGGAGCACGCTGATTGATAAATTTTTAACCAGTCAGCGCTAGTGGATAGCTGAAGAAGGTGCTAGATTATTCTTGCGTAAAAAATTTTGAAAGTGCTAGCGTTTTTATTACCGTGATTCGTTTGCATTAAACTTGGTTTTGCAGGTGCATCCACTCTTTGTGTTCTCTGAAATTCTAATCTTCGAAATTCCTCATCACCTCTATCTTATCTCACTGAACTATACTTCTTGAATAATATCTTCGAACCCTAATCTTCTCCATTACCGGTAATGCTTCTACTATCTCTACCACCATGGGATTTGAACTGGCAGTTGCGTCTCTGTGCTAATGCGGTATGGCAACGTGAACTTATGTACTTACGTACGAAGTTCAATGTTGCAACTGACTGACTGACCAGACGGGCTCCAGTGGGAGTTGAAAGATATACTTAGGCTAAGAATATTCTATCACAGGGGTTTCGGTTCGTGAGATTCATTCATAAAATAAGTTGTTCCACGTGAATTACTTTCTAAACTTTGTAGCAATTTGGTCCATTGTTTTATCTAGTTGATCAATTTTAGTGGATTATTGGCTATTCACGGGATATTTCCCTCTGTTTTGTGTTTTAGAAACTTATCTGTGGCATTCTGTTTATGTTTGCTTTGTCTGTAAAAGGTAAGTCACCCAGTGTTTTTTAGAGCTTGGGGTTTACTAAATTTTCTGGTGATATTGCGCTTTAATTTTTTGTATCTCATCAATGATGCCAAGCCGCTCCTATTTCCCTTCTATTTTTCATCGTTCAGTTGATAGTGTGACGTTCAATTTTTTCCTACTTTAACTTCATTCTTTACATATATTATATTCAGAGAGTATATTCAATAAGCTATTAGTTTTTGGTCTGTATTTGTTTATAAACTAGGGATATTTGTAATTTGTATAGTATACATGTTATAGTCTGGTGTATAGTATTCTGTTTTATACGAGAAACAAAATTTAGTCAGTTTCTGTTAAGTAAATATGGTTCGAACATTCGACTTACAACTGCTAGTTCGTTGGTTTGAATTGTACTTCATTTAACTCTATCTATGCTTAGCATAGGTTGTTCGCTTCTGTGCTAGAGTTCTCAGTCGTCTCTCTTAGTTGACCTGCTATTCCTCAAATGGAAAGCTTACATCTCCACACACAACTTAGACCAATGATCATTTACCTTCTAATACGATCTTATTTCTTAATCTGATTATTTTGTGATCTGTTCTTGAAATCTGCTTTGTTTACTCGGTTGACTCAAGATATCTGTGATTGAACATTTGTCACATATTCTTACTTCATACTTTCACTTGTTATTTTTCACAATCATTAAATGCTATGTAGTACCTTTGAGCTATTAATATCTGTGCTTAGTTGGAGTAGGACGTTTAACGAAATATGGATGGTTAGCAGTTTAAAAGAACCAGAGATACAAGCTATTTCATATTTGTGTTATTGTTAACAAATAGTTATGTGAAAGTTTGCATAATCCAGTTGTTGATATTAAAGACTACTTTGACTATAATTCCATCGGATACAAGTATTTAGGATATTTTTTTAGTATTTTTGCTACGTATAGTCCAAAATTTTCAAGAATAATAATTTTATTCTAATCAATTGAATAGTGAACATTTTTAGTGGAGTAATTCGTGCACTAGAATTTAGTTGTGGCATCATCACTGACTTTTGATCTTCATTGACATTCTACCGAATTCTTTATTACTGTTTGATTATTCTTTCAGTATTATTTATTTTCCTTTCTCTATCTATAAAAATCTAAACCATGAATACTACCTGCAAACATCAATTTAAGCTTACTGATGAATGCGAAGCTCACAATCTTTTTTTAATAACTTCATTCATGAACAAATACTTTGTTTGACAGCATATTAATTTAACATTTTATTGCAAATATATTGGGTCACAGATACGGTAACATATAGATTAAGTTTTATTACAGGTTTGGTTACAAATGATTGGTTATCCTGTAATTTTGAATCGAATCATTCATGTGAATGGATTGATGATGCAAATAATTGGCTTGCAAATTGGCGCCCTGCGTTTTATGTGATTAAAGGGGATTATTCGGTGGAAAAAAAGTACCAATCAGTTCTATGTACTCAACTTAATCCACGTACTAAACTGCGTCTACATAATCACCGTGTTCAATCCCCCAGTTTACAGCGAATGAATTCAGTTGTTCGAATAATTAGTCCGCCTATCACTGCACTAGATAACATTAAGTGTTTATCATTCATCTATCGATTCGAAAATTCACCTCATTTTCCTTCATTGTCTGGTTTTGCGTTAAATGTACTCCGTCGTTCAGAGGGGTAAGGTTGTATGTCAAATCTTGTGGTAGTGACAGTAGTTTCCAATCTGTTTTACTTATCTTTTACGACAACATAAATATTTTTCGTTATGTGATTACACCTTATGCAGTACAGCACTGAAAAAACCTGGCCAAAAATGAAGGTTTATCGCTGGTACATTTTTTTTAACTTAATAGCTCGTAATAAAGTTCGGTCACTTGAGCCTGTACACCAATGTTTCTTCGAAGGAAATCTGTGTGGATGGACAAATGATCAGAGTAGTTGGGAAGGTTATTGGCAATTAACTAAAGTTGAAATTCCGTTAACCAATGCATCCTGTTTTCGAATAACTCAAAAACCTATTAACACAGAAAATTCTTGGTCTGTTAGACGCAAGACATCTCGTCCAGATAAACCAGGTGACTTGCTAAACCCCAATCGGCTTATTAGTGCCAAGCTATGGAGTCCCCTTATTCAAGGTGAAGACCAACTTTATTGTCTCATGTTTGCGTACAAAATCGACACGCTGCCAACTTTCCATGCAAAAAAGGTCAGGCTCTCCCCAAATTCGATGAAACAAGTTTCCCTCAGTCTACTTAAACGTCAAGAAGGGTAGGCTACTTTATAAAGAACAGCAGTGAAATTTTTGTTTCCGATAAAATCTCGAATTAGTTTTATTCAGTAGTTACCCAGGCGAACCGAATATTTCGATCAATGTAACGCATTTGTTGTTCTAGTTCAGTACAGTTTCCTTATGGTAGCCTTTTATCCTGAAATGGTAATCATGTGTATATGATCTAAACGCTATTTAGCATGTAGTCAGCATGTTTGGTGCCTTATGTATCCGGCTTTCTTTTCTAGCGACCGATCCAGTTTATTTCTGCCCTTTCACAAAAAATCTTTGCGACTGGACTAATGATCCAAATAGTTGGCAAAACCATTGGTCTGTAGTAGAAGAATCAACTTGGTACACTGACAATAATGGCGAATCCCCAACTAAATTGGAAGAATCCTATTGCTGTCTTACAGCTGCTGTTTATTCAGGATCTGATAGTTCGAGTATAGCAGCTAGTCATTCCCCATGGATTATCAAACCTCATCTTTTAACTGACCTGAAAGATCCTACTACAAAGAAACCTATACATTCTAGACTATGGAGTGCATCTATTCCAACCAAATTAGGATTAAAATGTATGACGTTTGTATACTCTATCCAGTTTGGGTCATCAAATTATCATCAGGACTCAAATCTCTTCTCTGATGCAACCGAGAAGGCTTCTTTAACTGTCCTACAAAGAAGAGAAGGGTGAATAATTCTAAATTTCGTTTTTTTTAAATCTTCTTTTCCGCACATCTTAATTAACACATTTAAATTCCATTACTCAGGAATCATACAACTTTCCTTTATGTTCTCTGCTTCGTAACTAATTTCCAGTTAAATCGATGCATATCTATGCATGTAATAGAAGTCATTGCAAGTGGAGGAACGCAATGAACATTGGTAAATATCAGTGGGAATTAGTTACAAATACACAATCAGTCTGTCGTGATAAACAAGCATGAATGCACATAAAACAACTCATAAAAATCGAATTAATAACTACTCATCGTCCTATTTACGTAGTTCTTCAAGTGCATAGGTGAATAAAGCGAATCAGACAAGATTATGGAGTCCTCCAATGTAGGCGAAACAAATACTGTCGGCAAATACTATCTCACTAATATATATTACGTCAATATGGGAATAATATGAGCAGTATGAAATGAGCAAAAGAATAAAAAAGCATCATTGATTGTATTATGTGGTCAAGAAGTGTGATTTTACTTTCCTGAGCATTTTTGACCTGCTTCCTATTCAAGTTTGTGAATGCGGAAGCCATCGATTTCTAGTTTTACAATTATTAATTCTGGTGGTACGTATACTACTTGAAGTTGATTTATCTCTTTAAGAAACTTCATTCTCACATAGTGTACTGTGCAATGCATTAACTCTTTAATAGTTCCATGTTTCTTTGTTAATTTATGTTCAGCAAATCGAAAATTGAATTTGGATAAATTACTTTGTCATGGAGAATCTGATAATCGTTATGAATATTGCAATTGGATTGTAGATCACAACGATTGGGATAGATTTAAATGGAGTATGGAAAGACTACCATCAATGGATAGTGATCAAAGTGGGCCACAACAAGCCATGTGTTTGCATAGATCTTCTAGTCTTAAAACATCGGAAACGTTGACTTCTCGTTTATGGAGTCCATCCATCGGCACTGTAGACGAATCTGCATCGGAGATCAGTGTAGATGCTTCTATGAATCTCCAAGTTGATCTACAACCACGTTGTGTTTCTTTTTCATTTCGTTTCTTTTATCCTCATATTGTTACATCGAGTTTATTATTGGGAGAAGTTCAGAATATGCCTAGTCTTTCTGTTCTAAAACGTCAGCGGGGGTGAGATGATATTCACATAAATTCATATTTTGCGTTTTACCGTATAAGAATAAAGGAAGATTTCGTTGTGATCATTTGTAGTTATCGTTTATATGAAATTTATACACCAATACTTATCTATAGATTAACATATTCACTTCATGGTGTTTTTAGCTGTTCAACTGATTAAATCTTTGGATTATTCTACTGAAAATAGTATGAATTTGGATTGTGAATTCAAGGAATCCATGTGTAATTGGAGTAATGATCCAAATAATTGGCCAGTAAATTGGCAACTAAATATAATGCGTTCTGAAGAAGAGTTTTTAAAGAATGATGTAACGTCAATCGTAGAAAGAAAATCTATTTGTTTATCTTCTTATGGAAAATCGAATAATCGTCAGTCTGATTACGATATAACAGCTCGTTTATTCAGTCCAATCGTATCAATAATGAAGCAACCAAGTTGTATACAGTTGATATATCACATACAATATACTTCTGATTCATTGAGTGATCAGATTAGTTTGAGTGGAGGAGAATCGAATGTGTACAGTGTTGATGATAAGCCACCTACATTATCATTGTTACGTCGTCAGATGGGGTGAGCTATTGAAAATACGCACATGGGAATATATTCATTATTTTTCCAATCAAAATGACTTTGAGATATTGAAATTTGTTATTAAGTTCACCTTTTTGACACTTAATAACCTGTTATTTTATTGATGGAAAGTCAATCAAGAAATTCTTTTCAGTATGCTGAATGCAACAAGCGATGTCAACATTTTTTTATGTCACTAGCAACTAACTTCTCGAAATCACATCGATTTCCTCTTCGGTTTTTTTCTCGAGTGATTTCATACTTTCCAAATATATCAGATCATCTAGTCACCTATTTCTAAGGCTTAGCTGATTGCGCTTGCTTGATTCAATGACTTCAACCAAATTTTTCTTGAGAAAATATTAATACAATGTTACATTTATTTGTTCCGTTCCATATGCAGCTGAATCAAATCGTAATATGGATTTACTGCAATGCTCCGGTGAAAATGGTGATAACAAAGAATACTGCAGTTGGATTGTAGATCCTAATGACTGGGGTAGATTTAAATGGAGTATGGAAAAACTACCATCAATGGATAGTGATCAAAGTGGGCCACAACAAGCCATGTGTTTGCATAGATCTTCTAGTCTTAAAACATCGGAAACGTTGACTTCTCGTTTATGGAGTCCATCCATCGGCACTGTAGACGAATCTGAATCGGAGATCAGTGTAGATGCTTCTATGAATCTCCAAGTTGATCTACAACCACGTTGTGTTTCTTTTTCATTTCGTTTCTTTTATCCTCATATTGTTACATCGGGTTTATTATTGGGAGAAGTTCAGAATATGCCTAGTCTTTCTGTTCTAAAACGTCAGAGAGGGTGAGATAATTCTTCGTTCGGTAAATTTTTTCACTTCTATTTCATTTGGTTGTGGATCGACTATGAGGAATTTATTTGCTTTTATATTAGTTTTTCTATCGACCAATATACTTTTTATGTATACCACTTTAAGGTCATTTGTCGACACTGTTTCATCTGAACTGCAACTTCACTCAACCGTGTCCGTGGTCAATGGATCAAAATGATTGGGGCCAAGCAAGATGGAAGACAGAAGTATTGCCTTCGTTTATGACAGGGTCTTTAGTTATCCAGGAAGATGTACTTTGTTTTCGGAGTCCAAGACAAAATGATCTCAATGAGGATCTGTTTGTTGGACGCTTATGGAGTCCACCTGTCGGCTTGATATCTAAAAATTCTCGTCTAAATAATAAAACGAAAATTATCAATCTCCAATGCCTTACATTCTCATATAATATTTTCAATGGATATCCCAATATGCAAGTCAAACAAGTCCCGAGTCTTGCTCTGTTAAAACGGCAACGAGGGTATGCTTATGGTGCTAGCTGTGGATGGATGTTTCATTACTAATTTGCATGTTGTAATTGCGTCGTTCATTTTGAATTTTCTAAACCGTAATTCAATTTATTATCCTTTCTTCATTGTGAAATCACCTATTGACTCTTTTCATCCATTCCTATTCGTTTCATCGCTTCTCTCTGATAATTTCCTGCAACTGCTTGAACAACTTTTGAAATGACATGTTAACATTCCTAATGTTATTTGTTTACCCAACACAAATTTTCATTTTCGACTGAAGTTGTTGCAACATCTGGAGGTTCTGAGTTCTGATCTTTGATGAGGTCATGGGTGCATACGGGTGAAAAGTCTCAAACTAGAACAAAATATTTATCCATAACTTAGTGATTTCTAATGGTTTTTGGATTCAACTTCAAAAGGTTCATTTATTTAAAGCCTTCCTTTCAAACTGATTTCAAGGAACTTAAAACTAAATATGTTGCTGCACTGTATATGCTGTTAATTTCTTCACAAATGTTACTTCAACCTACCCTCTGGGGTACGGGTGATTATTGTAGCCAATAGTTGAAGACATGAGTAGCATGGCTGAGAATCGAGCGCAATTGCCGTTATTCATCCATTCTTTGTCTGAAACTACTTCTACTTCTTATCCAACAAACTCGTTATTCTTGAATCATTCTCTTTATGCTTATTTTTCCTACCCCTTCGGATACTGTTACTACCTCTACTTTTCTGGAGTTTGTAATGATAATTTTATTTCACTGTGCTGATCAGTAATGACTAACTGACTGATTTGTACATAGCGTTTGTCTGGGCCAAATGTTTCAAATTGGTTAGTCAGTCGTCTGAGTACTCACCTTCTTAATTAGTGAATTATCAGATCATTTTACTTATTTACTAAGCTTCTATAGTAGATGTCATTCGTAGTCTTGGATACAAATCCTGAGAATGTGTTATAGTTAGATCATTTCAACCATAGATTTTTGAATATAACAATAATCTTATCTAGATAAATTTTCTAAGCTTCAAACTATATCTATAGCTATGTGTAGTTGCACTCGCTTCTAAAAAGTTTTTGAAAAGCCTTTTTTTTTTACTTCCTCCTCTATTCTACTTGCAAAATTTTAATTCTAAAACTGCATAAACTACTTGTATTTTCAACTAGAATTCATCGAATTTTTCATAGGATAGGTATCTCGAATCAATTTAGTATCTTTGGTCAACTAAATTCCTCCTATTCCAAATCAAGTATTTATGACAAATTAATCTAAATGTTTGAATTTCAATTTGAGGACTAATTAGTACTAAATATAATAGCATTTAATTGGGATAATATATAGATTGTCGATTGAAAATAAAACAGATTTGGAATTAGATTACCATGTTCAACCTTATCCGCTATTATAGCTGCTAGTACTATTGAATCATCCTAAACTATAATATCACTTTTGTAAGAATTAAGTTGTTACTAAATGTTTTGTATATGGGTCTCATTGAATCAAATAAAATTGTAATTCTTAAAACTTTTATCAATTCTAAGCCTTCCTACTTCATTGTAAACGTTTTCCATATCAACATTACCAGGTAATAATCTCAATCCTTCTCCTCTTGATAACTATCATTTCTTACTATTTTTCTTACAAGCTTATCTAAATAGGAGATATCATTCATAGCTTCTATCTTCTTATTTACCAAGGTCATTTGCCAATGGACCAACCATTATCTTGTGATTTCGACAGTCTTTTACTGCCTTTATGCAATTGGCAGCATGATTTAAATGATTGGCGTGGACGATGGAAACATTGGATATTGTCTGATGATAATCATAATCAGTTGGGAGATAAACAGTTATGTCTGCAGTTGAATACAGAAGATTCTAATGATGATTCTACACAGGCTCTTGACTTAACAGTTCGCTTATGGAGTCAACTAATAAGAGTTAAAAAATTATCAGAACAACAGCAGCCTAAGTGTTTAAGTTTATCTTATCATTTAGACAATGGTTTACTACGAAAGCCGACTGATAATCAGTCACAGCCCAAATTATCTGTACTAATGCGACGTGAAGGGTGAGATCATCTGTTAATATGCATACCTGCATGTACCTCTGAGTAAAATCTATACATCTATATTATCTAGCTACTCTCTGTCAACTTATCTAAATATTTCGCTTCTATTTAGATCTTTTATTCCTACTTGTCAAATTGTATATCGTGACCTAATGAAAATGAAACTACTTCCTCCAGAAAACTATTCTATTATTTCTCTGCTGATGATATTACATACCATAGGGAATTTCTTTAGTGCACATTAAACCTTCTTTGCCCCTGATCCGTTGTTAAATGCTAAAGCTTAAATTATTCCATATTTCTACTCTTTCTCTAATCATACTCATCAAATGTTATAGTCAAAAAGTTCTTGATTATCAATCTTTCTACAGCTGTTGATTCGTCATCTACGTATTTGGTGCGCTCAGGTCAACCCAAAGTGCTCAATAATTATCAGTTTTACCAGTCACTTTTGAATTGCAATTTTACGGATTCCTCTATGTGTAAATGGTCTAATGACCAGAATAATTGGCCTGTTAACTGGGAATTTGAATTAGCCGATACATTGAGTACAAGTGTTAATCAGAAAAGCTCTGACCATATTTGTTTATACGCAACTGAATCAATTCACCCTATGGATTTAAATGCCAGACTTTTTAGTCCACTAATGAGTTCTATGTTCAATGAAATTTGTTTAAAATTAGTCTACACTATCATAATTTCCGGCCATAAATCTAGTATGGATTCATCTGGAATTTTAACGGATCAAATTTCCGCCGTGCCTAAATTGTCATTATTACGTCGTCAAATGGGGTAAGATTTGATCTTCATTGGATGGCTATGCTACTACTACCACTATTACTGCTAATTAATTATGCTGGAGGAGAATTCTAATCTGTCTTCTTGCTTATTCTACATTTCTTTAGTTTTCAATACTTTCCATCAAACATTTAGTAAACTAATAAACACATTTACTTCATCACGTTTTCAGCTATTCAACTGATTGAATCGTTGGATTATTCTACTGAAAATAGTATGAATTTGGATTGTGAATTCAAGGAATCCATGTGTGATTGGGGTAACGATCAAAATAATTGGCCAGTAAATTGGAAACTGATGAAGATTAAATCTGAAGACCGTTTAAAGAATGATGTAACGTCAATCGTAGAAAGAAAATCTATTTGTTTATCTGCTTATGGAAAATCAAATAATCATCAGTCTGATTACGATATAACAGCTCGTTTATTCAGTCCAATTGTATCAATAATGAAGCAACCAAGTTGTATACAGTTGATATATCACATACAATATATTTCTGATTCATTGAGTGATCAGATTAGTTTGAGTGGAGGAGAATCGAATGTGTACAGTGTTGATGATAAGCCACCTACATTATCATTGTTACGTCGTCAGATGGGGTGAGCAAATATACGAAAGTGTTTACATATCGCTTTCACTGACATCTTTCTAACAATAACGGGTTTTCTAAGTCTTGACTGCATCACCGTTAGAACAACTTCATATTATTTGATTTATCTTCGAAGTATATAACTTCCTGGTGATTGGGAAATTCAATGATACAGTGTTTTGATTTATCGATTTGAGCTTACCCTAGCTATAACTTTAGCTTACTAACACATCTGAAAGTCCATACATGCATTTTAGTTGTGCAGTAGAGTTCACTTTCTACCCGTTTGTTGTTTTTCATTGAGATTATTCATTGATGCTTTTATAACATATCTTACGCTATCTAATTTTCTTGCTACGTTCTTGTTAAAGCTAGGCGGCTTGGTCATCTTTTTCTGCAATTGGTGTCTTACTCGATCTTAGTATTCTTCTCTGTACATCTTTGTTATAGGAACAAATATAGTTAAATTAAAAAGTCAAGAATATGGACATATGTCTCAATCTAATTGGAATAGTCTAATAAATTGTGATTTTGATGATTCTAAAATGGAATTTTGTTACTGGCAAGGTGATCCAAGAAACGACAAAGCACACTGGATTCATGAAAATATGACTTCAGATTCACATAATGGAATAATCTGTCTACAACCTAGAAATCTACATACTTATCGTCTTCGCAAGATATATGGCACTCAGCAGAATTTTCTAACAGCACGCTTATGGAGTGAAACAATCGAACCTGTTAGTAATTTCAATGAAAACAGTGATTACTTGGAACATTTTTCGAACAGTCTTCAAAATAGTGCACGTTGTCTTCAGTTTCAGTATAGAATTCAATTGCACGATTCAAATGCTGTCGACTTATCCACCAGAAACTCAGTTGACAGTGGACTTATAAATCTAAGCGTTCTCAAACATTCCACTGGGTGAGGAATTTCAGGAATGTTCACAACAACTTAGTCGACTACTTAATTATCTTGTTGAATTTACTTCCTATTTTTGTATGTTTGTACCCGTTTACGAAGTTCAGAGAATTGCCCAGTGCTTTAGTTCAAACCTTTTAGAAAATAACCTATATCTCTTCCTCGTTTAAAGTATTCTCAACTTATAAGATATGAGTTTACTGGTATTAGATAATATAATTTGTGGTTTGGATATCAAGTTTTAAGTCCAATAAATAGTCAATTACTAACCCTATGATATATGTATTTTTGAAGGCTATATTGCTTTTGCTTTTTGCCTGCATCATACATTTCATATTTTTCTTCTCAGATATTCCAGTCGGTTTGTGTAACTTAATTTCTGGCCTAGATCCAGTGAACTGCGCTTATGAACAACAAAATCTGTGTAGATGGAAAGACGATCCACGTGATGAAATGGCGTCTTGGAAAGTTTTCTACTTCTCTGACTACCATACACATGCTATGTGTATGCAGTCGAACAAGATGTTTTTTCCACCCAAGACACCTAGTCGATCAATGTCACCATCCATGACTGTTCAATCACTTCATGAATTTTCAGCTCGTTTGTGGAGTGGTCATGTGTTTTATAATCCTGATAATTCAATAAAGTGCTTAAGTTTTCAGTTCATGATCACCACTAAATACATCGCCAAAACAAGGCTCACTTTAATGAAGCACTCTTCTGGGTAAGGAATGTTCGCATGAATAAGAAAAGCCATTTCTTCATCCTTCAACTCACTTTGTTGCTACTTTTAGTAAGACAGGAGAATTATTTCATGTTCTTCCTACCATGTTACTTTTGGATGTCTCACACTTTCATTCCACATCTGGATTCAAACTGAATAATTCCAGGTTCCCGATTATAGTTGCAACTACTCCAAAGTAACTCGATTCCTGGCGTTGGAGAAATACCAGTGATGTAGCGACTACTACTTTAGTTCAGCTTAAAAATTACGTTTTTTTTACTGTCGTCCTATCTTCATTGTAAAACATCTCTTCAGCATTTATCATCTGTTGTTAGTCTTAATTATGCATAATTTAATTCTTTACTCAAATCTATTTTCTTCATTTTTCCCTATCACTTTTGCTTCGTTTCTTTTTATTTGGGACCGGCTTGGTTTTGACTTTGTAGTTATGAATTACAGTTCATCTCAATAATAGTCACTAAGGTTTCATAATCTATTGAATTTTATAGGTGTAATATCTCGTCGCCCGGATATTCGATATTTAAACGACCCTGTTAACTGTAGTTTTGAAGAAGGCAATTTCTGTGGATGGAATGATGATCCTAGAGATGTCTTAGCCTGGTGGCAGGTAATACACCTGTCTGAGTTTCATACACATGCTGCTTGCTTACATTTGAGTACTAGTCCACTTGTAGTGAAATCTGGAGATAAATTATTTGTAGAAGGGTCAGCTCGTTTATGGAGTGGTCAAGTGCATCCAAATCCAACAAATAAGATATTGTGTTTTGGTTTTAAATATATCGTCTTATTTAATAAACATCTTCCTCATGTACGTTTGACTCTTATGAAACATTCTACAGGGTAAGCTGCCTTTTGTTACTTATTACTATCTATTTGTGAGTGTGGCGGTTTGAGATAAGTTATTGATTGTAGCTGAATCATTCATATCAGTCATTACAAATAAATCAGGCAGTTATCTCTTCTTTTCAAAGGAACTAGGTTAATTTTATCAATAAAGTTAATAACTTGACAATACAGTTTAAAGCTGAAAATCCACCTGATTTCTAATTTTATTGGCTCATTTCTATACGTTAGATCTTCAGTTTATGACTGGACAATTCATCCAATTTTTATTGGTGAATTTTAAAATAACTCAACAACCAATTAGAACGAATTATGAAATCCGTCTACATTCTTTCTATTTATTCTATACAAATACTTTAAATATATTTTCCATTTCCATTATTTATTTACTGTCATTTTAATGGACCTTTTCAAATCCGGCTTGGCTTCATTGTTTTGGGCGATTGTGGATTTTGGTGAAATATTTTTTTTTAACTTATTTTATCAAAATCAAGACATTGACTTCAATCAAATTTATTTTCAGTTTCATTATTAATTCGACCAAATTTTCAACATTTACGAAATCCTTTAAATTGTACATATGAAGATAGAACATTATGTGGATGGAATATTGATCCAAGAGATGTGCTGGCTTTATGGCAGGTGGTGGATATACCTAATTACAAGACAAAAGCCATGTGTCTTTTACCAAATCCAGACTTATCACTTTATCAAGATGTTTCTGACTTGAAACTTAAAACAGATATTTCAGCTCGCCTATGGAGTGGTCATATCCGTGTTAGCAAGCAACAAAAGGGGCATGAAATCCGATGCCTACAATTCACATATTTCATACCATTGAAAATAGCACTTAAAGGCCGTCTAACAGTCATGAGGCATTCAGATGGGTAAGATCTGTTATCCTTATGAATTGCTGCTCTATACTCATACTGCAGTTTAGCAATTGTTTACTCAGTAAAATGTTTATGGATCAACAAGGAAATATATTGCCAGTTATGAGGATTTATCGTGTTATGCAATTAATAATATCGTTTTTACAATAAAAACGAAACGGCATTCTGATATCCTCAAACAGTTTCACTGCAATGATTTCGTGATTGTAAAGAAAGCGTGTTACTGTCATCTTCATTTTGATTGAAAAAGAAATACAACAACCAATGTTCATGTGGAATTTTATTTGATTTACAGGAGAATTAAATGTTATGTGACGAAATTACATAGTGTAAAGAAGAAACTGAAAGGCAAAAGATAAACTGAGTTATCTTTACTCATTTTACAATAATTTCTTATGCTGCCGTATTTGAAAGAAAAACTCTCACTATGCTCAGTTACTGAAGATTCTTTAGTCGTCAGTTTTTGTCTCGGATACGATTCAAATACACTGATTATTCTAACAACACCGTGATACTAAACAAAAAAATTTTTGATCTGTACTAGCCACTCGCATCCTCTCCACTACTCCAAAAGCCAAATGTTATTGTACGGAATCAGAAGAGATTGGGTTTGAATCTCACAGCTTATTCAATTACTTGTTAATTCAATGACCACTAAGAACGGAATTGTATCAACTAAATAAATATCAATGAATACGTAACCATTGTGAAACAACAAGATGAATTCAGAATCAACTCAATACAACTGACATACACTGAAAGTTGATGAATCAAAATATAGGAAATGTGCTGAAATTCAACAAAAATCAGCTTAGATCGATTGTTGTGTGAAAAACGATCGATATTATTCCTTGGACACAGTATTTGAGGATATCATATCTCTAACAGTTGGATAGATGGAATAGCTGTCACTTAAATTTATTTTCTCAGTTACCTTTCCATTTTAATTCCTTAGAAATAATCAATGTTCAGTAAAATTAATTGTACTTTCTAACTAAATGAAAAATTCCATTTTTTTATTTTCACTCTTATAAATCTAAATCTGTTTCACATGAAAATGTCCTAACATCAAATAAGTATGTTTAGTAAAATACCTAAATCCCTTTGTCTCCCATATAAATCGTATAATTTAGAAGGTAATTAAATAATCCCTAGTTTTATAATTATTGACCATGATGATGTTGATGATAAATCATTACCTCATCATTCTTAACATTTGATCAGTTTTTTAGTTTGGTCATTCACTACCGATTTGCGGTGTTATCTTTATCAAAAATAAAAATAGCATTAGTATAATTTATTGGAATAATTTCTACCGGACTAAATAACTAGAATTCATTGGCTAACCATCTTTTTCTTTAACTGGTTTATATAACTATGATTATTGGATTTCTACTTCATAGTTATCACTTCATCAACTACCTCAGGTTTTCCCAGATCTAATTATCTGATTGAGTATATTCAGCAGTATCTAAAATATTTATGCTGTTAAATAATTTTACCCCAGTTTCTTACTCAACGTACATTGAATTATATAAGAAATTCATAAACTTTCTATATTTATCTTTCTTTTATCTCCTTTCTATTCAAACTCACTTTTTATTTCCTTTGGGCGGCTGGACTTTATGCAATCTGAGCATTTTGCATAAACTTTATTGCTTCTATATTTATTTAATTGATTAAAGGCTATGAAAAACGTTCTAATGGGTATTCATCGCCTATTTCACCTGCAAATTGTGATTTTGAA